AAAGCTACCAAGAAAAACAAGCCCTCACAGCAGATTCACAAAACAGTCCAACCCCAAAGTACCACAAAGCTGTTTCTTCTAATCCGAATTGAGCGAGCACGTGTGATGCTCCCGGTTACCTACAAAAATGAAACAAATGTATCCAATAACTATTAAGCGTATGCAGTGGCGGATCTAACACGTGTGATGCTCTCGGTTACCTACAAAAATGAAACAAATGTATCCAATAACTAACTATTAAGCGTATGCAGTGGCGGATCTAACATGTGGCATGGGGGGGTTCAGTTGATCTGAACCCCCAAACTTTTTGGGAACCATCAACTTGTTATCAGTATTTTCTAAGGTTAAGGCAGATTTCTAGAACAGGAGCTAGGGTTAACGCCAATTTCGAGAAAAAGTGCGTGGGGAGAGAGAGATGGGAAAGAGGATGTGCGTAACGGATGCGGCGGGAGCAGCAGGACGAACGACGGCGACCCTGCTCGCTCGCGCGCGCCATGGATGGGGATCGGCGGTGGCGGAGGATGTGCTCACCAGGATGGATGCGGCGGAAGCAGCAGGACGAACGACGGCGACCCTGCTCGCTCGCGCGCGCGCGCGATGGGTGGGGATCGGCGCGGGCGGCGGTGGCGGAGGATGTGCCCGCCAGGATGCGGCGGAAGCAGCAGGACGAACGACGGCGCCCCCTGCTCGCTCGCGCGCGCGATGGATGGGGATCGACGGCGGCGGCGGCGGCGGCGGCGGGCGGACAAACTGACGAGGAGGGGTCAGGATAACTCAGCACGACTATACATCAAAAATGGCGAGGGTAATTTAGTAATTTCGCCTAGCACCAGGATTGCACATCCCATCCCCACTGCTACTCACTCATGCTACTTCCTCCATCCCAAAATGTTGCTACTAGCATGGGTACGAATCTGAGTCCAAATTTGTTGTTCTAGGGTCAAATCTCATCCATCTCATCCTAGATGATAACATTTTGGGACGGAGGAAATATTCTCAAATGTGTGGGTTCCGCCTAAATATTACTTCAAATAAGGGTTTCGATAAAATATCACTCATAATAGCATCCATGCTAGAATACTATTTCGGACAAAATTGCCCTTAGCCTCCTTTTCTTCCTCTCTTCTGCAGCTTCTTTCTTCAACACCTCCGGCGAACAGGAGGGATGCTTGCGCTACGTCGCCTCCACATGACGATGGGCGTGGGCTATGAGAGCCTCGCCTGCAAAGCCTCTAGGGCTAGGACCACTCGACGTGGAGACCAAGCGGCGACGTTGTACGAGGAGAAGGGGAAGAGGCGGCGATGTGCGTCGTGGTCGTTGTCGCCGTCATTGAAGGCCGCCAGGAGCCATCGTCATCACTAATGGTCAAGGGTGATTCGGACGCCGCCGCTGGTGAAAAAAAGGAAGAGGCGGCCGTCCTCGTGAAGCACGAGCACCTGGGCCGCGTCGTCAACGTCGCAGTCGTGGACAAAGAGGATAAAGCGCTCGATTCGCCGCCGCCCACATCGATCTGCCGCCACCAGTGCCACCGGTCACCCTTGGCTTATTGTCTTTTAGGTCGCCAGGGCTAGGAGGAGAGACGTCGGCGGAGGGGAGAAGGTGGAAGAAGGGTATAGACGAGGGCATTTTTCTCTGATCAGGTATTTTAGCGTGTAGCCATCACTTGATAGTGCCATTTTATCGAAGCTCATTCTCAAGATGGCATTTGAGCGAAACCCACTCTTCAAGATGGCATAATCTCAATTTTCTTATCCCCACCATATCCAAAACGGTGAAAATCTAAAAGATGAAAATAATATCCAATAGTCCTAATCCTATTTTTTGAACGGAGACTTTTGAGACGGTGGATTTTAATTTTAATTTTTTTTTTAGATTTGAGATGGTGGATAATAAATATTAGGTACGATTGGCACTTCCCAGTTAGGCGCAGCTCATCAAACGGGTTGTGTCGTGTTGGCCCACGTGCTGAGGCTGGAGCCAGGCATGGCCTAATGAGATATCGGGTTGTGTCATGTTGGCCTTGCACGATCAGGATACGTGAGCCGTGTCAAGGCTCGTTAACCAAAATTTGATATATACTAGAAAAAAAATGTGAATAGAGTCCATTTAATCATCATGGTGAAGCTTTGGCAAGGTTCTTCACTCACCGATAGCACATTCCTTTTCCTCCTCGTCAAGCATCGTCGTGGCCCTTCACTTCCTACTTCCTCCGCCCCGAGACTGTGAGCCCCCAACGCCTGACCCGCTTAGTGGATGTGCTTGCAAATGGGGTTGGTTGCGCCACCACGCTGATCGTGCAGGGCCACGTCAATGAGCACCCACCATCGCTTCCTCTGCTCCGAGCCACTGTCTTCTTCGATTCTTTCGTTCTCCTTTCGTCCTAGATCCTACTTAGATAGTAGTTGCTCGATTAGCGAATGTTCGCCAGTCGTCAATCGTCATTGTGCCACACGGGCCAGGGTGTGTCATGCCATTCCTGGCCCATATCGTGCTAGTTCGCTACATGCACTTGTGTTGGCACGCTGGGCCGGGTAGCATCCCAAGCACGGTATGGCTAGACAGGTCGTGCCACAGCCAAACGGCTCATGTTGTTCCTAGGCCGTGAACTGCACATGCGGGCCTGAGCAGACACGAAAAGACCAAGCCCATTTGACAACTTATAGGATGATTTGACAAGCTCATAGTCATTCTTATGTTTATATAAATGAGATCAATTAAGATACCTCTGTCACACTTAATGTCGAATTAAAGGGAAACTATTTATTTTAATATGTTCCTTTCCATAATAGCGATTACACTCTAGCCGACACAAAAACAATAACACATTTTTTCCCAAAATAACATGCAAGCACTATATACTCTAGAAAACTTATCCATTTTGTTTTTTATTAGATCAACTCCAAGTAGCGTTGTCTGAGACAAAATTTATTTCAATATGCAGAATGAGGATAAACCGATCTCATGGAGATATACACATATGTATTGCTTATCTCATTGGTGAAAATGAAAATATTTTCTCACTAAATCAACACTGATTGGAGAGTATTATTTATGAGAAATTAATCTCGACTTGTAGAAACATAGGGATATGGTAGACATTATTTCAACTACAACGTGTGGTTTTCCAAGCAACTCTAGGGAATCCACACCACACAAGGAGTTGGAGTCGACGCTCAGTAGATGGGGAAATAACCTCAAGGCACCCAGCACGACGATTTTCTCTTCCTTCTTAGACACAATCACGCAGCGATACTTGGCCACCTGGGAATACGAGATATTGATACTTTTTCTAACCTTTTTCATTGTTTTTATCCCTTTTACTTATATGTTATTTAAACTAATATTTTTAATCAAATAGATAATTAAATTTTTTACCCAAAACAAACATATTATCAAAATATATTAAATGTTAATTGTAAGGAAACTAATTTTGTGTGGTAGATATTAAATATATTTTAATATAAACTGGTCAAAATTAAGTAAATTTGACTAGGAAAAATGTCCAAACGACTTATAACATAAAATGGAGGGAGTAGTAATTATCATGACATATTAATAATATTAGTTAGTAGTAATTTTTACACGTATATTAGTAATTACTGTGAGTTACTAGTAACATTATATATTACTACAAATATTTACAATTTTATTAGAAAAACATTTGAGAGTGGCATTTGTTATGAATCCGATGGACATAATGCACTAAATATTTTTATGAGTGACCTACCATATCTACAAATGTGTTGCTTAAAAAGGTATGAGTATTTATTTCCTACTTTTTTATATAAATAAATGTAAGAAAAAAATATATCGTTAATGTATATGTCTATCTAAAAAGTAATTTCATCACATTAAAACATTTAATAAATTTTGTGGTATTGTAAAATAATAAGATATTCTATCTAAACTAGTTTTAAGTCGTTAACACATATGTAAACAGTTTTACATTACATGTAAATTAGTTTTTATTCCCTAATGGGCAACCGATGAGTCTCTTATTATCTACTTTAATAGCAGACTCTTCAGCTATAAATACTCGTCATATTCAATACTAATATATTGTCGGTCTTAAAAAGTATGAGTATAGTTTAACTCCATAGTGTTGCCACAAATATTCATCATAATAATGGTATTACTTTCGATGCTAAAATGTATGTATATTTTTTATTCACCTTATCTAAATATCCAATAAGTATTTAGGACCATTTGTAAGAATCCTAGGTTATAGGACAAGTGTTTCCAAGAAAACCTTTTTTTTTTGGAAAACATGGATATGTTCAAGTATTAATCACTAAACATTGGCTTATTAATAAAAATCCATTATCTAGAAAAATGAACCACTAAACCATCCATTTTCCTGCATGTTTTGTGCAAATAACAGTAGGTTGAACTGTGGCAATAGCTAAATAGCGCCATGTCCATTTGTGAATGTAAATATGTTCGTGAGAAGTACTTCCTTCCTTCACAAATATAAGAGATTTTGGGTTTATATTTTTATCCACAGGATTCTACTAACCACCACTCATTATTTAATTCACTTAATTTTACATCACTACCCTCATCATTTAATAAGAAGTATTATAGTCTTTTTTTCCCCTTCATCTTTACTCATTTCTTCGAAAAATTCTCAACATAAAATAGAATGTGGTCTATTGCCTGGACAAAGGCACAACAAATTTAAACAAACATTTGTTCATATTTGTTGTATTAGGCTATTTCATATCCTGTCGTAGTCTTTAAAAACAAACCTAGAAAGGCCATAATTAAGGGGGTGCCCAAACACCCCCTAACCTAACATGTCTGTACCATCATCACCATGGTACTACAGTATTATCTAGCAAGACAATGACTAGGGCGTGTCAAAAAAAAAAAAAGACAATGACTAGACCAAGAACAAATGAAAAAAAAAATCTAGGAAATCATATGTTTTATAGTCAAAGATGCACAGTAAGGATTTCGATTGGTGAAACATAAATAAACAGTAAGATAACCCCAAGGAGAAGTGAGCATTTCAGTGACAATTTTTTCTTGGAAACAAGGATGCTACAATATATTATTGCAGAAACGGCACCAAGGCCGTTTCTATTATTCATAGGTAACATCCCAATAACAAGAGGAGACAGAGCACCAACCACACACCACATTCCACTGAACTCACCCCCAACTAAATCAAACTAGAAAACTCCCAAATTCAATCGACCTTACTTTCTTAAGGAAAAAGAGCAGTGCCTAGGAATGCAAAGCATCCTGAAATATCTCTCTTCTCTTTTCATCTCTGAAACCAGAGAATGGAAACAAAGCAAAGAAACTCCAATGCTCTCCTCTTTCAGAGTCTCAGCCTGAGATGTTGGCCAGCTCACTTGTTCGACGGCTCGCCCTCGACGGCCAACGGGACGGTGCTAGCCATGGTGCGGTACTTGAGGGCATACAGCATCTCAAGGTAGCGGCGGGTTTCACGCCTCTCCAGGTTCGAGACGTACTTCCAGAATCCGTAGACGCCGGTGAGGGTCATCAGCCTCTCAGAGTAGAGCTTCCAGGTGTATCTGAAACAAAGGTTGGAGAAACATAATGTTAGCACTGCAAGAAAGACGAAATGCGTATTCAGAAACACAGATTACTGGGATGTGTTTTGCATACTTCTCCTCGATACGCTGAAGACCGCCCTGCGAGATCTTGGTCCAGTGGCTGGGGTCTTCCTGGCACTTCTCAAAGAACTCAACGAGCAGCGCCGAGGCCTTGTCACCCTGGTATGGGTCAATGTGGAAGCCAGACACTCCGTTCACGATGATCTCAGCTGGACCACCATAGGCGGTTGCGAATGTCGGGAGACCACAGGTCATGGACTCAACAACAGTGAGACCGAATGCCTCGTAGAAAGCGGGCTGGAAACGCAAGACAAGATAAATTTGAGAACAGTTAGATTTACAATTCAAGTATTCAACCATGATATTTTTGCAATGAGAGAACATCATTAAGTTACCTGCACAAAAGCACCCTTGGTGTCGCAGATGTAACGGTAGAGCTCACCGTTGCGGACACGGTTCATCTGCGCGGAGATCCAGCGGATGTGGCCATTCAAGTTGTATTGCTCAATAAGGTCAAACATCTTCTTGAACTCAGCCTGCTCCTCCTTGTCCTTAGATGGGTTGCCATGGTCACCACAGACAACCACAAGGTTAACCAGCTCTTGCAGGCGAGGGTTGCGACCATACAGCTCAACCAGACCAGTCAAGTTCTTGACACGGTCAAGACGAGCCATGGAGAAGATGATTGGCTTGTTCCTGTCCTTCAGCATAAACCTGTTGCAGAGAGTATTCTAGTCAGATAATGAGGGCGACATGCATCAGATGAATGTAGATCGAGCTATGTAAAAACCGCTTCTTACTTGTGCTCGTTGTTGTCAACTTCGCTGTAGAGCAACTCCTCAATCTCTGGGTGGAGGGAGGTGAGCCTCTTACGAGACTCAGAGTAAGGGAAGTAGATGGACATGTCCGCACCAGGCGAGACAATGTTAAACTTCGGGTCAAAAACATCAATACCGTGGACAACACGGTACAGACCAGGCATGGTGAATGCCATGTGAGACTCATACTGACCAACAGTGTCCTTGCTGAAAAACCAGAAAATGCCATTAGATCATGGAAAGGTAATTGCATTTTTACGACATAACTGACGGATGTGACCCAGAAAACTTTAGTTGTATAGAAATATTACTTTCCGGCAATCTCTTGGAAGGTACTGGTGATGATGAAGTCAGCGTGGTTCATCGCAATCAAGTCAGTTGTGAACTGGCATGAGAAGTGGTAGTGATCCTCAAACTTCTTCCAGTAGAGGTCAGAGTTGGGGTACTTGGTTTTCTCAAGCGCATGGGCAATGGTACACTGCATATCATGGAACAAGGCAACATGAGAATGAGCAAATATGTAGTTAAAACACTTCTGATCAGAGTAGTCAAAATGCGTACATGGGTAACACCCATCTTGTGTGCAAGCAAGCATGCAACAAGGTTTCCGTCACTGTAGTTTCCGATGATCAAGTCAGGATTGGCCTGGAGCTCTCCAGCAATTTCGTGCGCGACATCCTGACATCCATGGGAAAGAGTCAATATGAAGTTTATCTTTAATAAATGAATAACCAAGAAGGTGTGACAGCGAGGTTAGGTATCTACATCAGTGAATGTTTCCAGGTACGGCCAGACTTCAAAACGTGAGATCCACTTGCGAACAATTCCATTTTCAGTTCTGAAAGGCACACGTAGGATGTGGGTGTGCTCGGTGCCAAGGACCTTCTCAAGACGCTGACCGCAGGTGGTGCCAGTTGCATCAGGGAGCAACCTGGTGACCTGTTCAAGACCAAAGAAGGTTAAATATCATATTGCTATAGCTGACAAGTTGTATTGCACCATATCAGGTATCCCACTTACAATAAGGATGCGTGGTGTAATATTGAGACCTTGCTGCTTGATCCTCAGAAGCATCTCATTCTCCATAGCACGGACTTGGTCCAAAATGTAGACAACCTTTCGGTAATCATAGCACAAAGAATAATGAGAACAGGTTTAATTTTTTTAAGTATGAACAAATGTCAAAATTAAGAATTCTACCTGCCCTCCAGTGTCAGGGTAACCCAAGACATTGGCTTGCGCGAAGTAACCGTGTGGGGACATAATGACAACATTGAACACCATTGGGATTGTTCCAAGGAACTTCTCGAGGGTGGACGGATCAGGGGCCTCAAGAAGGTCCAAAAGGAGGTGAATGGTCTCCTGGGAACGCTTGGCACAGTCACCCCAACCCTTCTCCAGACCAAGTTCCTGGAACCTGTATTTTCCAATCAAATGGTCATTTTTAGTCACAACAATACTGGCAAAATATCTTCGGTGGTTTCATATCAAAATACATTCTAGAGTTCATAATATGTAAAAAATAATTATCAGTACCTGTGGTGGAATTCTGAGTAAGGGGTGTCTGCTGAAAGACCAGAAAGATGCTCCTCAGCCTTCCTCAGAGCACCTTGGAGAGCACTGAGACTGCGGATTCTGTCATTCAACATCATGGTCTGCAGAAAAAATATATATTCCATCCATTCAGAATTTATACTTCCATCTCAAAATCAATTCAATTCATGTTAATATGCCATAGTACAAAAATGTGAGATGAGGAAATAGTATGAAGCTGCCTTACCATGCCCTTGTAGTTGTGTGCACGAAGGAAGTTGAGCAGTGGGTACATGCTCTCCTTGTCATGGAAGAGCTTCGATGACAGATGCCTGTTGAGGAACTGCACACCATTGCCAATGGACTTCGACAGAGAAGGACGAGGGAAGGAGGCATTGAATGGCTCGAAATCCAGCTCAAGCACAAAGTTGTTGTTGGTGCTGAAATATACATCAGAGATATTACAATGACATATATATCGATAAAAGAAAAATAATAAAATTAAGTTTTAAATTTTAAGAATATATGTTTTTAGTATCCCAATTATGCAGATTTCATACCCTTCTTCCACAAGCTGTTCCTTGAACTGCAAGTACTCGGGGACTGTCAGCAACTCAACAGCGAGCTCGCTCACATTGACCCTCACATACTCCCAGACACCGGGCCTCGGGCGGATGGCAAGGGCAACCCATGGGGAGATAACAATCCCCTCCTGCATGATAAAAAACAATTACAAGTTAAGTTAGAGCAAGCGGTAGAGTAAAGATGGATCTCTGTGATGCAATGAAATCTGAATCTGATTCAAACCTGTGCACTCCTCAGGACATCCTCAAAAGCACCGTCCTTCAGCTTCTCACGATCAGCCTCAGAGATTGCGTTGTTGTACTCAGCAATGATCTGGTGGGCCTGAAGCATTCCCTTTCCGAGGTTAACCAGCCTGCGCAAATAACAGTGTCAACAAAAATATCAGGCCAGATCTATCAACTCAGCCTATAAATATCTCAATAAGATAATTTTAGCACTTGAGCATTTGCGCATAATAAGAAAATTTGCTATTAGCCACTTAAAAAGACCATATATGATCTGTTTGCATTGAGATGAATTAAAAATTTCATTGTAGATATGAAATGATTAGTTTTGACCATTTAATTGGACTTAATGAAATATGCGCGATAATCAGATCTACGCGCTCGCGCCAATAGATCTAGTAAGATGTAGGTTTTTTATTTTTTTTGTGAAACTTTGCTACCACAACAAGCATCTGTACCAGTGCAGAATTCATTACTTGTATTCAGTTTGTAAACCGTATATATAATATAAATAACATGCACATGCAGTCAGATCTAGCACTACCAGTCCACAGTAATCCAAAACTACATTTGTATATTTCATCATTATTCAGTAGTACTAGGTTTGTACAAAATCTTGGCTGCAGAAGGCCGCACTTAAATATTCATTCTAATCAGAAACTTAAAAAAAAAGTGACTACAAAATGATTGCATCCAATTCAGTAAATATGAGCCATTCCTGGCCAGATCTAACAATCTCAACAACAAAGATCCTATATGAACATCTCCTTCTAAAAGAAAATACAGTAACATCTGAAGGCAGTAGACTAGAAACCAACAAAATCTAATGCTGGGAAATCACTAAATCAGCACGAACCTGGTGAAGACGGCGACGAGCTCATTGGGGTGGGCGGAGAGGGAGTCGCCGATGCGCTCCCTGACGCTGTGGAGGCGGCTCAGGACGCGGTCGCCGGCAGCTTCCCCCATTGCTCTCCTCTTCCTCTTGGCTCCTCAAGCCTGCGTGCACAACCAACCACCATCATCAGATACATCCAGACCCAGTCAACACAATCACTCCAGGAAAAAAAAAAGTCAAGCCATAAACCCCAACCAAAAACCACGCCTTTGACAAACACTGGAAGAAAAAGAAAATCGCAGCTTTTTCACAAGCAATCTAGAAGAAAAGAAAAAGAAAAGACTACATAGCAGCTATAATTGACTGAGAAGCATACAGGAATCAAACAATGGAGAAGGGGAGGGAGGAAGAACAATGATGCTCCAGGCTGAGGACCGAGGAACTGGGTGAAGCGGGGTAGGCGCGTATTTATGCAGATCTGAGGAGAGAAACCACCAAAACAATCCGATGGTTTCAACGAAAAAGATCGTCGCTTCTTGCTGCACCAGCTCACCCATAGCCGTTGAGATCGAAGCTAAGCTAGCAGCAGCAAAGCTGGAACGAAGAGTGACGCATTCAAGCTCCTCTCCTCTCCTCTCCTCTCCTCCGGAGCACGAGGCCAGCATGGGATGGATTGGGGTTTCTTGTTGGCCATGGCAAAGGAGGAGGTCATTAACGTTGACACGGCGTAATTTAATTAAATCTTATCTTAAAATATGATTTAAGTGGTAGTAACAAGGAAGATTAATACTATGAAGGTAAATAAATTTAACCCCTGCCATTAGCAGCAGGACCCAAAACTGTCAGACTGTCTGTCGCCGAGCTCCGAGACAGAGGCACATGCAGAGGAACGGATAAAGACAATGAACTTGTCAGCCGAGAGAGAAAGAGAGAGAAATCATCAAAAATGCTTTTAAAAATTCAGGTGAAAGAGAAACAATCATAGGACATTACTAGATCTAGCATTCTATCCACTTCAATCTGATGAAAAAAGAAAAATAAAAGAAACCTTAAACCCAGGTGAGAATTTCAGGCTTGCTGAACTAAACCCCCAGATCCAGAAGCAAGATCATCACCACTAGATCTCACCATGTCGTTATCGATGATCATGTTCGCTAAACCCCCCAAATATTCACTAGATCTCGGCTTATTATTATCCCCTAACGCAAGAACGAGCATGAAGAGAGAGAAAAAAAGGAAGCAGAGTTTCTTTTTCTTTTTTCTGTTTCAGGTGCACTCAATTGCATTCAGAGGCAGCACCTCCCCCTCTGAATCCGATGAACCCGGAGAAAAATTTTGGCATGACCTCCCCCCATGATCGAATCACTCGCGAGTCCAAGAAAAATTCCGTCATCGTGTTCCTTCCGGCAGCATGGATGAGCATGAGCGCTCATATTATCATCGCCATTACCGGCATTTCGGTATGCAGCAGCACCACCGACAGTTCTAGGTGAGCAAGAACACTGAACACACACACCCAACAACAGAACAGAGACGAGAAAAGGAAATGCAGAGCTCCCATTGATCTATCTATCCATGGAGGAAGGAGGAGGCTCTTCTTTATTACCTTCCTAGGAAGAGGAAGGAAGTGCCTTCCCAAGAAACGAAGTAAACGCAAATAAAACGAACGGGGTTAACGGAGGTGGAATGGATTGGTGCGAGGATTGCCATGGCCGGGGCCCTTATTTATACACGAGGAAGGGGGCCGAGGTGGCTCCGGCTCGCCGGTGGGGTTACCCCCATCCGCCATTGCCGATATAAAAATGGTTGGTGAGCTCAAGCAGATAATTTTTCTTTTGATTTCGTGCCGGTTTTTGGATAGATTTATTTGCATGTATATGTTGGATTGTTGGCGTCATGTACTAGCAAGGGAGCGGCTGCATCGTATGATTCTTGCTTGTTCTTTTTTTTTCCTTTTTTTTAAAGAAAGATCATGCCTTTTGTTTTGGTAAAATTTGCTACCGGATATAAAAAAATGTGTAATTAGCTAAGAGACACCGTAACGCGTTTCTGCTGCAGGGCACCGTAAAAAACTAGTAATTAGTTGCTGGACACTAGAGAGAAACGGCAGTGTAAGTACGGTTCTACCCTTTGATTTTTTTTTTCTTTTTCTTCCTTATCCTTTCCTCCCTCTCTCATTCTTTCTCAACCGACGCCTTCAACCTCGCCCGCTGCCGCCGCACCTCCTCCTGCGCTCGCCCGTCGTCGCCGCTCCGCCCGCCGCACTCACCCACCATCGTCACTCCTACTCCTCTCAGGTTCGCCCGCCGCCGTCGCTCCTCCCAAACTTGCTCACCACCGCTACTCCTCCTAAGCTCGCCCGTCAGCGCCGCTACTAATTACCGCAAAAAAATAGTAATTAGTTGCTGGACACCCACGAGATTATTTTATTATATCTGGGAGAATTGGAGAGAGAAACGGCTGTGTAAGTACGGTTCTACCCTTTGATTTTTTTTCTTTTTTCTTCCTTATCCTTTTCACCCTCTCTCATTCTTTCTCTCTTCTCTCTCTACTCTCAACCGCCGCCTTCAACCTCGCCCGCCGCCGCCGCCACTTTACTTGTCATCGCCGCGCTCGCTTGCCGCTGCTCCTCCTTCTCTCGCCCGCCTTCACTGCTGCCGCTTGTCCCAGGCTCGCCCACTGCCGACGCTCCTCCTACACTCGCCTGTTGTCGCCGCGCCGCGCTCACCCGCCGCCGCCGCTCCTACTCCTCCCAAGTTCGCCTGCCGCCGTCGCTCCTCCCAGGCTCGCTCGCCACCGCTGCTCCTCCTAAGCTCGCCTATTATCACCGCTCCGCCCTCCGCGCTCGCCCACCGCGGCCGCTCCTCCTAAGCTCGCCCGTCATCACCGCTCCACCCACCGCCACCACTCCCAGACTCACCTACTGTATTCCCCCTTCACTAACACTGGATTTTTCACATTTTGGTCCTTTTGAAAAACTTATTTCGCAAATAGACCCCTAGAAAAACTTATCCCAAAAATGGTCCTTTTTGGGCGCCAGAGTGGCTGGCGCCATCATTCAACAGGACGGCGCCAGCCTTTTTGGCGCCGTCCCCCTGCCGACGTGGCGGGGCGATGCTGAGGTGGCTAGGGGGAGTGCGCCAGAGTGGCTGGCGCCCCCCTCCCCCGAAATTTTTTATTTTTGTTTTATTTGTTTGATATTTTTTTCACGCTTAGGGACACACAAGAACCAACCATAGAAAAATTGAACTCAAATGGACGTAATATGTGACATGTAGAATTTTTCCTCTCCTCTCCTCTCTCCGAACTAGTGCAGAGGAGAGAGATGTGCAACTTTTTTATTTTTATTTTATTTTTTTGATATTTTTTTTCATACTTAGGAACTCACAGGAACCAACCATGTAAAAAATAAACTCAAACGGACGAAATATGTGGCATGTGGAATTTTCCAAAGTTCCACCGAAAAACTTCTCTCCTCAAAAACACAATCTTGCAAGTGGAATTTGGAGGTTTTAATATCGCCGAACCCGGCAAAGCGGGAAAGAATCAGATGTAACTTTTTCTGTAGATGTCCGTGCATATATTATTTACCTGATTCCGAGTCCGTATGAGAAAGTTACGCCTATTTTAATAGATGACATATTTTGTCCGTTTCGGTAGAGTTTTGGAAAATTCTACATGTCACATATTTTGTCCGTTTGAGTTTATTTTTTATACGGTTGGTTCCTATATTCTCCTAAGTGTGAAAAAAATATCAAAAAAATGAAATAAAAATAAAAAAAATTGCATCTCTATGTACTGTTTAACTTATATATATCATTTCATGTGGTTATATTTTGAATTAGATTAAGTAATTTCATATAGTGGTAGAGTGCATTATGTTTAACATGCTGATCAAAGGGTTTTACTAAAGGAGTTATGGTCTAATTTTAGTGAAGGTGCAAAGTAGACTAAGTGGTATGCTAGATATTTTCAGACTTAGCTAAGTTGTAGTTCGAGTTTAAATTTTTTTTGTGGTTGGTTGTATTGTGATCCTGAGTGTGAAAAAACATCCAAAAAAATAAAATAAAAATGACACCGTTGCAACTCCATACAGAGAAACAGGAATGGAGGCGGCGGCGCCAGCCATGCTGGCGCCCTCCTCCCTGGGGCGGCGCCAGCATAGCTGGCGCCCTCCTCCTGCCACGTCGGTTCGCGTGCGCCACGGTGGCAGGAGGACGGCGCCAGAGAGGCTGGCGCCGTCCCGTTGTATGACGGCGCCAGCCACTCTGGCGTCCCAAAAGGACCAAAATGTGAAAAATCCAGTTCACTAACATGGATGCAGGGATTTTTCTTTTTTTTTTTTAGAAAAAGGAAGGTGCATTTGGAGCTACTTGATTGGTTATGTAAGAATAATATTGTGCTTTTTAGCCAGGCATATGAGTGGAATTGGGTTCTCTGTTATTTAGGATTGGTATAATTTAAATGTGTATTTCATATTATTGATTGATAGACACGGAAGGAGAATACATCGGAGTTTAGCCACATACGTTGGGATCGGTTTTATAATACCACTTGGATTTATATTTCTAAGTGAATTATTTTGTGCAAGTCAAAGTGACACATCTCAACATGAATTAAATAGGATACGATGCAATTTTCAACTTGAATTCCTCAATTAGTATTTATGTCATTCTAGGCACTGTGGCAAAACTTGCCACATAATATATATATCAAAACCAACCTATGCATTATTTTGTACATGGCAGTCATAAACATCAGTAAAAAAAAATCCCACTTTAAATACCTGCAAGCATGATCACTTGATTTTGTTCATTCAAAACACTTTTACTAATAAACCACGCAATACAAAATTCAAATAGAAATAACAAAATTAAGAAAAAAAACGTAAAATTTGCCAACTGAAAAATTATTGAGTTTTTTCTTTTTACCGAAAGTGCCTCTTTTAAACAAACAAAAAGGAAAATACAGTCGTCCTACATGAACACTGCTGTATCCTCGTAGTTTCTGACGCTGCCAGCTAGGACCGTAGTATGTCGAAACAGGGTGAGCTCACAAAACCACCGGTCCCCAATGTTTCTGACGCAACCACCATTTCGCTACGCGCACACCAGCCTTTTTTTTTTCTTTTCTATTCCCCTTCATCATTCACAACGGAGAAAAAATTCGTCAGCTTTTCCGTACTCGAGGGGACGCGGCTCCCGTCAAAAAGGGACACGAAAATTGTAAGGAGAGTATTTATTGTATTTGCTTTATTATTACAGTGCCACTTTTTTTTTTTTACACAGGGAATGAGATGATTATACTGCATGTTTGGGAGGCTGATCGGATCCGGGTTTTTGCGTGGGTTAGAAGCAAAGGTGGGTGAGGTGTGGGGCTCATTCTTCTGTAGGTGGTGGATCTACTCGGGATCCAACCCGATTATTTTTTAGCCTTTTTTGTTAATCTTTCAGCACAAGTTAGTTACTTCAACTTTTGGCCCAAGTAAGAATCTCTGAATATACTGGCTGAGACCCTGTTTAAATGTGATTAAAATTTTTAAGTCCCTATCACATCGGATGTTTGGACACTAATTATAAATATTAAACGTAGACTATTAATAAAACACATCCATAATTTTGGACTAATTCGCGAGACGAATCTATTGAATCTAATTAAT